TTTTTTTTTTTTTTTTTTTTTTTTTGTCTTTTTGAGTCAAACTCTCACTATGCAGTTCAGACTGGTCTTGAGCTCCTTTGTAGCCCAGAATGGTCTTGAACTTGCAATAATCCTCTTACCTCAGCCTCTGGAATGCTGAGATTACAGACAAGCACCACCACACCCTGCCGTGAGAAGGATTTTAATCTTAGCTCAATTTTGAACAACTGTGAGACTTTCCCTTGTTGGACTTCAACTACCTTCTCCATGTTTAGTGGGATGCATGAAAGCGCCTAGTATGTATAAGGCCTTGATTAAAGCCATTATTAGTTTTAGCTAAAGCTTTTATCCTAATGACTAAAATGTCATACCAGCCCTGCTCCTGGGTACACTGAATGGAGGTGTGGTGGCACACATCTGTAATCCCAGTGCAGTGGAGGCTGAAAACAGGAGGATCATTACGAGTCCAAGCTGCATAGTGAGACCCTGAACCAAATACCTAATGGGTTAAAAATTTCAGTTTTAAATTCAAATATATATCATATGCATTCTACAATCATATTTAACAGTTCTGCACTTCAGTTTCTCTACCTGAAAGTCAAGGATTAGAAAGCATATGTCTGGTGGTGGGACTGTCACCAAGCGAAAGTACGTGAAGCACTTAGTTGCGCGCCGGTTGGTAGGAAGGGTGCTTCAGATGATGCTCAGAATTTCACAGACACTTGTACTCACGTGAGGGCCTCTGGGGAAATGGTACGCGGAACAGTTCCTCACGGAGAAATCCACGTGGTAACTGGTTTCTTCCCCTCCTCTCTGAAACAGAAAAGATCCATGTATTTTTAGAAATAGAAAAAGGAGGGGGGAAAGTAGCAGACACCTACGGTCCCATATAATATAAAGCACTGTGAAGATTACAGTCACCAGTATCTGCCATCTTGCTTACGGTTTGTGCCTTTCGCTTTTAACACAGGGTTTCCCTGCGCAGCTCGTGTTGGCCTCAAACTCACGATGTCGCCCAGATCGGCCTTGGACTCGCAGCAGTCCTACTGCCCCATGGCTTCTGACTTTTAAGAATGTATCACATTTAAAGAGTGAAATAAAAGACAGTGGCAAGAAGGAAACAGGTCTTTTGCAACTGGGAAGGGGACCAAGAGGTGGGGGGGGGGACTAGGAGGGATGGGGCGGGGAGAACGGAAACCCCACCCTGTCCTAATCGTGCGTAACTCCCCGCGATGAACGCGGTCGTGTATTGCAAATGAGCCGGCAGAAACACGCAGCACCCGACCCAGGCATGGAGGCACATGTCTATAACTCCAGCACACTGGGAAGCTGGGGCACGAGGGTTGTGAGGCGAAACCCAGACTGAACAATTTAATAAATTAGCAAGACACAATCTCAAAATATAATGTAAAATGGGCTACTAATGTAGCTCAGCGTAACGATTATGGGTTCAATACTAGTGGCGCGCGCATGTGCGCACACACAAGAGGAAGAAGAGAAAAAGCATCCCGTAAGTAATGCAAAAAATATCATTTCACGGAAAAAGTTCATTCTACAGACAGAATCAAGCACAGCACACAAAGGTCGTTGTGCCGGCAGCCCTCCTGTGCGGGACGTCTCTTCCTCTAGCGGCTTCCTACTTACCTTGCCTGTGTGCAATATTTAACTCTGACCATAAGTGGCGTATTGTGCACCATCGTCCTGTGACCTGACTCCCCCTCAGGAGCTTGTTTTGTCACTCCCCAGCACACATGTGTCTGAAACGTCCTTTCTGGGAGCTGCACTGAGTCTGTTCCCCTGCTCCCCTCTACCATCCTTGATTTAATTTTGCATTTTCAAAATGCAGGCAAACATCGGGCATCTGGTCCATGGTCACTCCACCCGGGTGTGAGCTCCTGGAGGCCTGGGACGACAAGGTCGACGGTCGTCTAACTCCCGAGCCACGCTGGGTGCGGGAAGGTTGCTTCTCTGAGCCTCCTTTTTTTCCTGTCCTTATTCTTACTTAATATGTAGCCCAAGCTAATCTTAAACTCACGGTGATCAGCCACTGGACTGCTGGGATCACAGGCATGTCTAGCTAAATTTGCATGATTTATAATTCCTATAGCCCTAATATATTCTTATCTTTCCCTCTTCATTTTTTCTTTTTATGTATTTGTTACAGGGTCTCACTACACAGCTTGGACTCATAACGATCCTCCTGTTCTCAGCCTCCCTGGCGCTAGGATTACAGGCATGCGCCACTATGCCAGGTCTCCGTAGCTGTCTCAGTGCCTGCAGGAGCAGGGAGAGGGGTGCAGCAGCGCAGACATACGGGACCGGGGGTGGAACCCTGGTCCCTGCGCTTTCCAAAGCAGGTGCTTAGTCCGCGGAGCTATCTCGCCGGCCCAAAAGATCTTCAGTCTTTTTGGTTTTTTTCTCTTTTTGGCTAGCTAGCCATTCCTCCTCTCCCCTAAAAAAAAAAAAAGCCTGCAAGATCAGTTCTGTGGGGCCTGTCGTCCGTCTCTCATAACAGCTGCAAAGGCTGCCGCGACTAGGCAGCGGGTTGACTAAGGCAGATGCAAGGGCGTGTCTCTCGCTTGGCCCGTGCTAGCCAGCAGCGGTCCAGGATTCGGGCTCTAGAGGACGCTGATGGAGACTTACCGCCCTTGCGACTCGTTCTACGTGGTCCACTCTGAAAGAAGCGAAAGCGCTGTCCTCGCCTTTGAGCTTGTCGAGGGCTTTGTCAGCTGGTTTCCTGTAGAGCTCAGTGTCCGCGAAGAAATCCAAGAGGACAGAACTGTCTTTGGTATTGCTCAGGGCCGCCGAGACTAGAGAAGAGATGCCAGGGTCTTGGTTATGGGGTCAGGGACAGCAGTGTTAGCGTCAGAACCCAACAGTGCACACCAGCAAAGGCTTCCCCAACAGATGGGCAAATTGAGGGCGGGAGAAGCCGAGGGATTTAAGAACTTCTGATCTTTCCTTTGGATACTACTGATGTCTATGTGGAGACCCCTATTCATAATCCCACCAAAAAACATGAAGTATTGATGTTCTCTTTATTTATCTTAGGTTTTTTAGGAAATAGGATCTCCTTGTTAGCTTTTGGTTGGCCTGGAACTTGAGATGCTTCTGCCCTATCCTCCTTAATGCCGGGATTATAGGAACGCACACTCACATCTGGCTCTGGTGCTACTGTGCAAAAGAACTCTTTATTTTACTTTATACCAGGAAGAGAGAGAGAACCCTGAACATAAAGTTTCACCCAGAGAGGAAAAAAATTAAATAAACCTTTCATGAAAGTGATCTATAGAGATTACTTGGCTTTTGACTATACTGAATCGTACTGTGATTTGCCATTTTAAAATGGCAAATGGGATTCTGGGGCTGGGGAGATGGCTCAGCAGTCTAAGCACCTGTCTGGGAAGTGTAAGGACCCAGGTTCCATCCCTGGTACCACATGCTGAGCCAGCCTCATGGCAGCCCCCAAACCAGATGTGGTGGCACACACCTGTGATCCCAGCAATGGGGAGGCTGAGACAAGAGGATCACTAAGAGTCTGAACTGCATAGTGAGACCCCGAATCCAACAAACAAACAAACATAATAAAAGAGATTCTGTGGTAATGCTTTATGTAAAAGTAAACAAGAAGAGCATGGACTTTAGAGTCAACACTGGTGGGAAAAACTCGAGTCTTCATTGCACATGGCTCTGCTCCCAAGGCTACATCCTCAAACCTCTTCTAGCGTCTGTTACTTTATCTCTAAAATAGAAAGGATCCAGATCTTTCCTTCACAGCTATGTGTGAGGCTAGATAACACAAATAACTTCCTCATACACTGTGGATATTATACAACATTTAAATGTTGAAGCCAATATTTATTAAGTGTTAACTACTTTGCTTAGTACGCTGCATAGGCTATCTTATTTAGCTCTAACAAAAATCCTAAGAGCTATTTTAATTGTATTATTACTATTACTTATTTTTTTTCCGTATTTTAGGGAAGGGTCTACAGGGTGTTCAGGGTCTTACCACTAGATTAGACTTGTAGTGATTCTCCTGTTTACAGCCTCCCAAGAGCTGGGATTACAGATGTGTGCCACCACGCCCAGTCTCAATCGTCGTCTCAGGGTGCCCTGGGGGCGGGGCCTGCAAGCACCCCAAGGATAGAAGCCCTGGTCCCTGTGCCTGCTTGCAGGTGCTTTAATCCGCTGGGCTATTTGGCTGGCCCTTTTATTACTATTGCTATTATTAATTGACAAAAGAGAAAAGCTGAAGGAAGTTAAGAAACTCACTCCCAAGACCACAGCACTAGTAAATGGTAATAACGTTGAGATTCAAACGCAAGTTGCAACCCAGAGCCTATCCCTCCAGTGAGATTACACTACTTCCTGTGAATTTCCCTCTTTATACACAGAATTTCTTTAAAGAGAGCTGACCCAGTAACAGGGGAAGCTTAATCTTCTTTATATTCTCAGGCAAGTGACTGTAGTGGACACCATGAGGACAAGGCCCCCTCCTGATGCATGTCATGGTGTTACGTGAAGATCACCATCGGAATCAAGGCTGAGTTTTATCATAATCTGGAATTAATCAGCAACAGCATACCTGAACTGACGGTGCAGTTGTAGTCATTCACTCTAAGACCCCAAGATTCATTTGAATATTTCGTGGCTATTACCTTACATTGTCCAATCACCTGTAAAAGAGAGGGTTTGAGTCTCGGCACGGTGGCTTCCTTTGTGGATGAGGTTGGCAGAAGGGAACCCGCACATTCCTCCACCCATGGAGAGCCTATGTGGGGCTTCCTTCCCTAAGCCCTCCCTCCCACCCGCACTTCCCTTGTCTGCTTCTGGGTGCTGCGCACTACTGACACCAAAAGCGTCTCATGAGACTGAGGGAGAAACTGTCAGTGGGTTGTGATCATGACTATACCCTAAACATTTTCAAGGGAGACAGTACTAAGACTCCTGGGTGTGTAGATCTCCATTTTAGGTGCAATTCAATATCGTTCTACTGCAGTCTCTAACCTTGCACCCGGCCCCTGTGGCAGAGAACCGGTGTCTGGTTCTCACAACCAACTTGGCCAGCACGATCCTGCTCCTCACTACGACAAGTCCTTCGGGCCATTCCTGCTGATGGATCAGCCTTCCCTGGGTCCGTAGCCTCGTAGGTCGTGGGGCTGGAAGTGACCTCACAATTCATCTTCTCCATGCGCCTGCTCTCACTGAGGAGAGTGGAGCCCGGGGGCGCTAGGTGAATAGGCCAATGACTCTCTCTGGGCCTGCGCCAGCTTGTGGCTCCCAGGGCAAGCAGTGGAGTGGAAGGCACAGGCGCTAAGGGGCGGGAGGTGGGGCCTGCGTGACTTACGATCTCAGATGGGCGTCTAGAAGCAACTTCACAGTCATCCAGGTGTTGCCCAGACAGCACCCAGCAGTCGGATTCCTGCACATCCAGGACTAAATAGTACACAGCTGTGGGTCCCTGCAGAATGTTAAGAAAACAGCAGGTGACTAGGATAGGGAGCTCGTAGGTTTCCTGCAGGGTTTTCTTTCTTTCTTTCTTTCTTTCTTTCTTTCTTTCTTTCTTTCTTTCTTTCTTTCTTTCTTTCATCAAGTCAATTTATTTCTCATAGTGAATTCTTGCTATTATTCTCTATATCTTTACAAATGGTCTGTATTTTTGTCACTTGATCTATTCATTTGAATAAATAGCTTCACATAGTTATTTTCAACTGTCTTTTTTAACACTCATGATGTTTCTTCTGCCCACAGGTTTTAAAAGGGCTGTCCCTCCATGCAGGGTTTGTCTGCATGGAGGTGTTGGAGGTACAAGCCCAGAATAATAAGAGGAGGCCACACATCACCACTGCTAATCTGTTTTTGTAGTTGTGTCCTCTCACCCAGCTGTACTTGTAAATTTAGTTTTTTTTTTTTTTTTTTTTTTTTTTTGTATCAGGAATCGAACGCACAACCTCACACTTGCTAGGCAGGCACTGTGCCACTGAGCTACATCCCTAGCCCATACTTGTAAATTTAGATTTCCTCCCTTGATTTTGACTCACTCAAAGCCAAATGCACTCTTTTCTCTTACAAACCTCTTTCAACTTCCCTGTCAGTGGCCATTAGTTAGCATCTTGGGTTCTGGCTTCTTTTCCTTTTCTTTTTGTCTTTTTGAGACAGTTTTACTGTGCAGTTCAGACTGGCCTAGAACTTACTTTGTAGCCCAGCCTGGCTTTAAACCCACAGCAACTTTCCTGCCTCAGCCTCCAGAGTGCTGGGATTACAGGTGTGGGCCACCATCCCCGGCTGGTTCTGGCTTTAAACATGTAAATCAATCTGGGTTTCTTTCTGGTCTTTGCTCTGGCTATCCAGAAACCAGGCTGTGGACAACCTTTTTAAAAAATGTTCTTACGGTTTTCTTTCTCCTACTAGGAATCAAACACATGACCTTGCACTTTCCAGGCCGGTGCTCGTGCTGCCGAGCTATATCCCCAACAAAAATGTTTTCATGTAGATTCTTGGCTCCTCATTCTCAGGGCTTTCATTTGCATTATCTGAGTCTGGGCCTCAACTCCTCATTCCTGAATACTGCAGACAGCTTCCTAATGCATTTCCCTGCCACCTGCCACCACGTCCCTAGGCACCTGTGCCCCTCTCCTGCCCCACTCTCCATGCTGCCACTCGGAGATAGCGCAATGACCACTCATTCTGTCACGCGTGTGCGGCCAAGGGCCTGGAACAAGACATATGATAGTGAAGTTGCTCATCTAACCTAAGCCTCCCTAATCCTAGTCTCTGTGTTCTGCAGCGCCTTCCTCTCCAGTGCTTTCCAAAGGGTGAGTTGCCCTGCCTGCCCTGTGCAGCAGCCCACGGGCTGGCCTCCACTACTCCTCCACAGCCTTAGTAGCCCATCATGTCCACTCCAAATAACTGTAATCTAAGTAAAGACAGCAAGCTTTCCGGGCTTGCCAGCTTCTCTTCCAGCTTCACACTGATCTCTGGTCTTTCCAGAGCCCACACTATGCCTCTGGACCCCTCCCCCACATATTTAGCTACTTCCTAGTACCCCCCCAACCCCAGGATCTCTATGCACGTAGAACTAATGCCTGAAATTTTCTGGGAAAAGCCTTTCCGTATATCCTCTTCCTATTCAAATCTGTCCATTCTTAGCAGCCCAACTGCAGCCTTCTCCCATTCGACCTTAACAGATCTTTCATTAAATTGCCCCAATATCTATTCCGCACACTCGGTCACTGACTATATCCTCTCTTACATTCTTTGTCTCTGTACATCAGTAGATTATTATATTCGTGAGAACAAGATGGATAGTTAATTCTCTGTCTCTGTCTCTGTCTCTCCGTCTCTGTCTCTGTCTCTCTGTCTCTGTCTCTCCGTCTCTGTCTCTGTCTCTCTGTCTCTGTTTCTCTCTCTCTCTGTCTGTCTCTCTGTCTCTGTCTCTGTCTCTCTCTCTCTCTCTCTCTCTCTCTCTCTCTCTCTCTCTCTCCTCTCTCCACCCCCAGATTGTTCTTGAATTCCTGGGCTCAAGTGATGTTCCCACAAAGTGCCAGCACCACAGACCTGTGCTGACCAAGAAACCCAGCTTTTAGTTTTTCTAAGCGCTTAGCATTCAACTGGGCTCATAGCTAAGGACATACCAGTAGCAGACACTAGCAATCTTAGGGCAGCTGAAGAAATTAACCAGAAAGCCCTGATCAAAGCCATTGGTTGTGCCAAAGCACAGGCTTAAGGGCTAGTGTCCCATCCACCCTGACATGGACTCCCAGGAGCTCCACCATGGGCAATTTCTCACCGTTCTATCCAAGTGGGCATCAGCGACCCGCAGCAAGTGGAAAAGATAGCCATTCCACCGGTCTCCATTGATCACCTGTAGCGCTCGCTCAGCCACAGGCTCCGCACCCTTGCAGTCGGTGGGACTCAGGGCCCAGGAATGCTGCAGCGCTATCAGGGACAGCAGCACTGCCACGAGCACCCTCATCCTGCCGAGCCACCCTGGGCTACGGACTCCCATAGCTGCGAGCTTCACACAGACTTTCTGGAGCACACTCTCGTACACACAACACACAACTGATGAAACGAAGTCTTTGTACATTTTTGTTGTGTAACTGGGGATGCTTGCCTTGACCCCGGTTCAAATATCCATCATCGGGCTGTAAATGATTAGTGGATCCTGAGGCTAGAAAGTTGAAACACTAGGTGAGTGGGCAGAACTGGGCTAAGACCTAAACTGGCTATTTCTGGTAGGAAGTAGATCCAAAATGTTTCACTGACCCTAAGCACTGCCTATGGGGGTGGGGAGGGGTTGGAGTAATTTTCTTCCATGGGAGGTGATGTACTTGGGGGTTAACATCCTAATGGGAACTGATGAGCCAGCTACCACAGAGGCTGAAGCAGGAAGACATCAAGTTTGAAACCAGCCTGGGCAACTTAGCAAGCTCCTGTCTCAAAATTTAAAATAAGAAGGACAGAGGAAATAGGTCAGTGGTAGAACAACCTTGGGTTTGACCCCCCAATACCGGGAAAAATTTAAAAAAGGAATAGACTTTGGTAGAACTGATTTTTGGCTTCTTCATTTCTAAGATGGGAAAAGGTGGCTTTTGGCAAGCTTGTGTGACATTAAATAAGGAAACATACGGAAAGCAGTGGATAAGTTCCTGGCACAGAGTAGGCACTGCATAAGTGGTGTGCTGTTTATTGTTGCTCTTCTTGTTGGCTTTGGGAAGAACTAGGGGCACTCCCATATCATTCCAGTTCCCTGTGGCGCTAACAGCGTGCCAGGTGGCTCATGGGTAAGAGGGCTGTAGTAAGAGCAGGAGCAACTGGATGTCCATGCTCCGGGAGGTGGGGCCCAGCACGGCCTTCAGGGCTGGGACACCGACAGCCTCCTTCCAAGGAAACCAATATACTTACATGGACCTTCGAACCAGCAGAGTCCAGCAGGTTTAGAAAGGACCAAAGGGAATCGGCCCAGGTCCACCCCACAATGGGAACAAACAGCTCTTTGGCAGCATAGCTCTTGTCCATATTGTCTCTATTGTGAGGATTTTATATTTATTTATTTGTTTATTTATTTATTTATAGCAATGAGACAGTTTCAAATCAAATTGGTAGGACAGTTTCAATCATTAACACATTGCATACATTCTTCCTAGTGGTTAATTGCTGTATATGAGGATTTTTTATTTTTTATTTATTTTTATTATTTAAGACCTTTATTAACAGGTGCTTGCAGTTTGTTGACTTTTTTGAAAAAATCAAGTTGTAAACTTTTATTACAAATTAAAAATGAAGTTCTTAA